TTGAGATGTAAACTTTCCTAATTGTGAGTATATGTATATGTACGTAATTATACGTATTATAAGTGTAAGTTATGCAAAAAGTATATGATTCCCTGACTTGGCTTGACGACAAAGAGGATGCATTATGTTGTCCTAAGTAGTGGTCTTATGGCCTAAAATTTTTAGCTCGAATGAAATCAACTTGCATTTAAAGTTCATTAAATCAAACCTTTGGGGAAAAGTGATAAGCAGAATTTAAAGTACTTACCTTTCGTTGTGGCCTTGGATTGTTATCAAAGATGGCTTGGAATCGACACCTCTGCTCGTGATTTAGAGTGGTCCTGGCACGTTTCCCAGCCAGTCCTGTTGACTCACTCTGTCCAACGCCAGACAGATCTATCGGAGCCAATCCAGCCATCATTTCAGAGCAGGGATTCGAGGATGTGGCCGAGGAAACAGCTTCCGATGGAAGTTGTTTGCTATATTGCTGATGCTGAGACTTTTCACGCATAAGGCGAAGATAATCGGTCTTGCAAATAAGATGATGGTTCGGAGGAACTTGGGTTCGTCCACCAATGTCAAATTTTTTGGCAAGCTGAAGTGGAATAAAGGAGGGATTGATTTTAATTATCTAGGGTAATCAACTTGAAAGACTCACAGCTGGTGAAAAATGAATTCTTACAAAAACCCGATAGCCAAAGGGCTATTACTATTTTCAAGATATGACAATTCAGAGCAAATTTAAGCATATAATAGTGCAATGACATTTGCAGAATGTTCTGATTGTGTGAAATATCTGTAATCATATGCGCAAGAAAGTCAAACAAGTAGAAATCATTTCTAAAAACGGGAATAGGGATTTTCGATATAGCTCAAAATTAAGATGATATACTATAAGTCCCTAGTGATGAAAGATATCCAGCATAGGAGCGATAAAAACGGTAAGTGATACAAAGCTAGGAAGATAAGTTGCTCATAATGAAATAAGAGTTGCACTTTGCCAAAGGATTTCCCCGTATGTCTGAAAAAGGTTATCTTACTCTCAAACTTGTATGGTCTAATTAGCAAGCTAAACAGAATTCGAAGATGGGTCGCAGATGTCGAATGAAAGCATAGCAAGATCTTGCCATAACCTAGTGTTACTGAATCACATAAAAATTAGTCACGGAATAAATAGAATAATCACCAGCAATATGGTAGATTTTAAAGGCAAATCAAACAGGTCATTCATGCCTTGAAATCCACATAGCCAGTGGAGCATATCGCTCTAAAGTGAAGCGAGTGGTTTATTGTAATCTGACACAATAGCTGATTTCTAATCTCACCTAGAATAGTAAAGAGACTTAAAAAAAGTCGAAATTACTCCAAAACGATATTACTTGTGTTGATTTTCTTTTTATATCGCAACAACCAATGTCCATCTACCTGCTGTCTTTGCGGCAAACTCATAAGAGTATTTAATATTTATACAAATTAACGGAAAATGGGAGTATCAAATTTAACGTAAAAATACTAAATGACTCTATAGATTTAACCGTAATATGAAGTTTGCCAAGAGATATTAATAATCCCATGGAAATTATGCAAATATCATTTTTATAGTAATAAAATGAAGAGATAAGTTGCAAGGCCAGAATCCATAAAAAGAACGAAATGCAAGGAAGAGTATTTAATATTTATCGAGCAAGAGTTATCTATAACTAGACTCAAGCTCTTTAGCTCCCTTTGGAGTAAAAGCCCTGTTACTTTCGTAATTACCGATTATGTAGACGATAAAACCCACATGAACAATCGCATAGATGAAATAGATAAATTATTCAAATTACCCCATCTTTTGCAGGTCTCCCAGTTCCTGAGATAATGCCCGAATCAGGTGGAATTTGAGCGAAGGTATAACTATCACCAGGAGCGATCGGCTGCCTGCAGACGGCACAAGCGAAGCACGAAACATGGAAGAGCAGTAGCGCCGAGTTCGACGACTGCGGAGTATCAGCTACCAGATGTGTGTCTAAAGAGTCTTTAGCCTCGGCACATGTGGATGCGGAGGGAGGAGAGGATAAAGGGATAGCTTCCACTGGATTGGCTTCCCCTTGAAGTATAGAGATAGGTGCCTGAGTCTGCATGTAAAGCTCGTGGCTAAGCATAGGCTGTTGGCAAGCGTGACATCGCCGTGCATGAAGGCTTTAATGAAAAATAGAATGACAAATATTTATACATTAGTTATTACTGACAATACAGAAATAAAATAAAATAGATACTTGTAAACAAGACGTCAAAATAAAATGGATCGAATTCTTTCGTGAATTAAAATATGAATCAAGAGTATGGTCACAGGAAGGATATCCATAAAGATTAAACACTCACCACCTTTAGGCCCACATTAAACTTGGTCCCAAATCCATTCATTGTTCCTAAAAAGTTCGCTGTTAATTTTACTAGACCTATTTTAGTCAAATATAATAACCTTGAAGACTCAAATTAAGCCAATCTTGTAAGCACTTATGCCCCATTTATCGAAAAACATTTGTATTTTGCTAATTGGTGCCTAACTGGTTCTGAATTATCTTAATTCTCAGTACAAAAATGCATATGAACATAGGATCTGTCCCAACGACTACGGATGCTGCAGTAATGTGATGAGTTCACTTTCAAAATCTAAGGACGAGTGTTTACAAGCTTCTGATTCGCCTGGTAATCGAATGACCGAAATAAGAGTACTATATAAAAAAATAATTATCATTCAAAGGATCACCGACAAAATCAATAAAAATGAACTGCAAGTTATGCGTTATGAAAACGAAAAAGAATGGATCATAACCAGCGTCTGAGTAAAATGACTACTAAATTATAGTCTTAAAACTTCAAAAATGGGCAGGCATCTGCAGAAACAGCTAATTACGTAAAATTCAACTATGAAGGGTTTGCTGAATGCACAGTCAACAAGGAAAGGACCCTTAGATCAAGCATATAAGGCTAAGTAAAACTAATTTTAAAGACTAACTAATATCAGAAGCATTGGAAGGACATTATAAGAGGGCGATGGATACCAGATTCAAACAACTTTGTAAAGAAGCCAGATAAAATGAATTATAGCCTGGGGTAAAAATATGCAGGGAAAATATTTGAGGAAATTCAACTATTTATGGAAGGTATAAAGACCAAGATGGTCTGGCCTTTTGTATGGTCGTAGTCTTTTTTCGTTATATAGAAGTTGTTTGATCTTGTTTTCGCAACTTGATCATATTGGTAGGAAGACCTAGAGGAACTGGCGCACATTTCATTTCGAATGAGAAGGCGGGTCGAAAGGATTCGTAGATTGGCCTCACCGGATACAACAGGAGGGTTGACTTGGGCTTTTATCTGCTGAACTGTGCTAAGAAAACATCGGCTCACTGTCCTACGACCCTGATGATTCCGTGCTGAGCTTTCGTCCGTCATGTGATGGACATCGTCAGGCCATAAACCATTAGTAACCAAAAGAAAACGAAAAAGGTCGTAGGACGGTGAGCCGAGGTTTGCTTCGCACAGCTCAACAGACAAAAGTCAAAGGCAACCCTCCTGCAGTATACGGCTAGGCCAACCTCTTCTGAAACGAAATAAAAGGTACGTCAGTATCAATCTATTAAGGGATTCTTCAAAACCCAGCTTCTCTTCAGACCTAAAGGAATGCACCTAGTCCGGAGTCTAGTATTCATCGTAGTCGGTATCGTCAGTGAGCCTTACCATTCTTAGCACCACACTACAACTCGTCAAAGAGACAAGTGAAGCCGATCCTTTGGCCAATTGGCTGTTAAACAATTGTTGTTAGCTCTGCTTCTGCCCTGGGCTATTGACCAATATTAAAATGTACCGTCTACGGCCCGACTCTGAAAATTATCATGCATACTATGGACTCCGGACTAGGTTCGTTTTTCTAGGTCTTTTTACCAATATGACCAAGTTGCGAATGCAAGTTCAAACAATTTCAAAACTAAAATATCGTTTTAATGCAATACAGGTGATTCTTAATTAAAGCATAGCTTGGACGAGTAAGCATTAAAAGGTAAAAATAAAGCCAGATAAAATATAAAATAATCGGAGCAGCATAATACCTACCGGTAATAATCCTGTCGACAAAACAAGAGTCCATCATGTATAAAGCAGAAATCTGCCAATTCCGATGCACAGACCGAACATATTGCACATGGTTCATGCCAGAAGCGGCCTCGGATTCGAATAACGTGACGATCCCGAAGAGCAGCTGAACAGCCAGCACATTTTGCTGCACAATCGGAAGGGGGATTTAAAGTCCCACCGTTTCGATCAGAAATGGTAAATGCACTTGATTTATGCTTAACA